GTGTACTCAAAGCCCCGTGGTAATCTGATGCCTTGAATCCATCCATTGGTCGTCCTTTAAAATGCAATGTCGCCTTGGATATTCAATTGCCTAGCAACATCATGTCAGTAGAAAGTTTTTAGGCCTGCCTCGTTGCCCTTGCAATACCATACTGTACATGTACTCAAAGCCCTGTGGTAATCTGATGCCTTGAAGCGTAGCACATACACATTTACATTTTACCCTTGTAACAAATGTGTCATCCTGGAAAATCGGAAAAGCCTTGAGTTCTGTTCAAACAGATGCAAACCGCTAGTTTCATTTGTTTTTTATTTACTCGGATGAAACTTGACAGTAGTGATGATCAGTGTTGGAGTCCCCGATTGCCGGCCTCGGCCTCGAGGTAGATTTTCATGGCCTCGGCCTTAGCCTCGGAGGGCAAAGCCTTGGAGACCTCCTAATTTGTCGAGGCTGGCTTGAGGTTGCCCAATTTTTCCTACAATTCAACATGCTTTTTCAATCAAAAGTGTGTTTTTTTAATCATTTTTACAGTTACCAACCTTCATTAAGATGATACATTAACATAAAAGCAGTGTCTAGTTGCAGCATTCTTTTCTTGGGTTCCTTGAGTGTTTTCATTCCTCCTCGGTGAAATAAAATATCATAATAAAATATCACAATAAAATATCACACGTCAAAGTTGATTTTAAAACCTTTGCTTTCGCTTTGCCTCCTACATGTACATGTACTTCTGAGTTCTGAGCCACTGAGAGGCAAGCTATAAACGGCAATATTCCAACTTGTGTCTTCATATCATCAACAGGATTAAATTTTATTAAAGCAAAAAGTAGGCACCAAAACATAGCTGGGAATGGAATTGGGACGTATAGGTTGATAGGCATTGCAGTGTTGCACATAACTCAGTCTGCAATGCACATTGGGCATCTTGTTCGAGAACCAGTTTAACTCCCACCATAGCCTGGTTTCTGTCATGTGAACGACATGAGCTACACGTTGAATAAAGAAAAGGGCTCCAAGATGGCAGCCCGCTAGTCACAGTTTGACAGTTATACACGCGGTGAGTTCGTTCCATTATTTCTATGGTTTACGCTACCTAAGATATAACATGGTGGCAGCGCGGGATTTCCGATATACCCGCGGATATTTTGGGCACATTTTTCTATTGTCACTCGATATTTTTAGCCACGTAGAGCGGGCTTTTCTGTCGTAAAATTCACCGCACGAGTGACGCTCTCGCACAATGTCACATTCTCCACAACAGCAGGGGGCGCAGTCTCGCGCACCGCTGATCGGTCGCCTTGATCGCTACGATGAGGTGGAAGATATTCGCAACTAAATTGAGCGACTTAACTTGTATTTCCTGGCTAATGACATTGCTGAACAGAAAAAGGCTCCAGTGCTGCTGAGTTCAGTAGGCCCTACAGTTTATAAAACTGCCAAAAGTCTGGCAGAACCTACACCACTTACTGAGAAAACCTACTCATAACTATGTGAACTGTTGATTGCCCACTATGGACCGAAACGTCTAGTTGTGTCAGAGAGATTCCGCTTCTATAAAAAGGATCAACAGCCAACAGAGACCATTGCACAGTATGCCATGACACTTCAGAACTTGGCCAGTACATGTAATTTTGGCCAGTTTCTCGATGAGGCTCTGCGAGACAGGTTTGTGTGCGGTCTGAGCAGCAATAACATCCAGAAACATCTTT